CCCATTATCCACTCACTGGATGGGAGTAAAAACCACCCCTTTGTGACTCCTGGTCATTTGGAACGTTGGGGTTTGGGTTCCACCCAACGTTGGCATCTTGTTCCGTCCCTGCCGCATGTCCAGGTGCCGCGCTTGGAGCTCTTCGACCGCTTTGGGGTTCGCATCAACGGCGTGAGCTTTCATCCGGCGTACCATGAGCTCATGGAGCTCGGGAGCCTTGGTGAAGCCGTCCGGGTTCCGAGCGAGGCCGAGGTCGGCCCCAAACGAAAAGGCCGAGAGCATTCGTACCTGTGCCGGTAGAGGTACGGTATAGGCGCCAGGAGGGTCCAGTCATACCATTCGAGAAGGTACGACTGGATCCCGACTCGGGCAGGACATGGTCCGATCTCGGTACCACTTGTCGTACGGTAGATGTGGGGTCCGATCTGGGTGGGGAGAGGGGCCATGTTCGTTTGTTAGGTGGGAAACCAAAGCATTGGATGCTGCAGGCCCTGTAGGGTGGATATAGAAGATGTCAGCTCTAGCCAGTGCTGTGTGTGCATGAGTTCGTCCAAAAGCCTTCAAAAACCAATGAACCCAACATAACCCAACACACAAAAGAAGTTACACCATGCAGGAGTCAGAAAGGGGTGGTTTTTAGTCCCATCCAGGGAGTGGAGGTGACAGGGGCACCCCTATATCCTCCAGGTTCGGCACCCCGGCATCAAACTGCTGGCAGATGGAGCTTCTAACCCCAGACAGTCTACGGAGACAGAGAGACTATAGAGTCTACAGGCACTCCATGGGACTGTCATATGTACATTTACATCGACCTCTGAAATCTTAAATTTTGCTGGCCAATTTGACATTTTTATGGAGTGTCATCAACCACCAGCCTAAATCTATCAACGGCACACTCAGCTGAACGGACGGAATCAACAGGATGTCCCAACAAGATCAGCAAATCTTCCATCCAACATGATTTCCCCATGTTAAAAAGATCCATTAATCATATAGCAAATCTGCCATCCCACCAGGTTTTCCCGTGAAATCATCCAATTTGCCCTCCGCCGCTGACCCCTCCAACGTCGCAGGGCGGGGGCCTCTGTCTGACGGCAGCTCCACGACCCAAGGCTCACGTCCCAGGCGGCGGCCTTTGCCTGGCAGCACCCGGCCAGGCGGTCCGCGGGTTTTCCTCGGCGCGCTCCAATGGATCCTCTGGGCAGCAGGGTATAGGTATAGGTGTCTTTTTTGGTGGACCTCCTTGAGTAGGTCCATGATGTTCATGTTCTTTGGTCAACCAAGGTACTCGTAACCTGGTTCTGACACACAGCCATATTGATATGTGTATTACTCAGGATGGGGCAGTTCGCAGCAGATCTCCGCCACACCAGTTCGACGAACGCCTTATATAGACATGGGTGACAGGGGCAACGGTTTTCTTCGTGGAAACGGTCAAATCGTCCAATATTGTTGGGGACCTAAAGAAGCCGATTGCCAGTGGATTTGATC